AGCCTTGAAGGCAGCAGTGTTCATTTACATGGGCACACACCTGCCTCTGAGCTGAGCCATGAGATATGTTTGCACTGCCACGGCTTCCATCAGGAGAAGTTTGTTACCATGGAGATTGTACATACTGGTGGAACGGAGTATTTAACGCACGACTAATAATCAAACTTCTCAAACAAGCGAGAAATTTCAAGTGCATTTGGAGTGAAACAGCAGAAGGAGAAAACACAATCGTTTCTTTTTCCAGTTGGGCTCAGTGCAGTTGATTACCTCTCTTTGAGAGAATTTAAGCAGCTGTAAAACCACAGAATGGAGAGCCTGGCTCCCAACACGTGCTACACCTGACACCACGTCTAAGATTTAACCACAGGTCAGGTGGGCATTTAACAAGAATATATCAGCTCTCCTGAGAGCAGGATGCTCCTCACACGTCCCTACTGTTGCAATACTTCACTTTTGGCTTCTCAAAGACATAATAGCTCTAAGAATATTCCCTCCCCACAAGTGAAGCTTTCTGCAGGCTTTACCAACATATTTTTTTCCACTCCAAGAAACCTACACAGTCATTTAGAAACTGCCACCTCGGTAACAGCAGCACAAAACCCCAAATATACAACATCTCCCCGAGCTGAAAAGCCCCTGGGATACGACATGTTTGTAGTCAACACAGACAGATGCAAAGGAGGTCAGCAGCTGAGCTCCTGCAAGAGCTTTCATTTGTGAGAAATCCAGAAATAGCTCAAGCTTTTGATTCTGAATGAGATGAAGACCTTCATAGGGGGAGGGAGAAAGTGTCAAAGCAAATCTTTTTTGTTCTGGTAAACTCAGAGCTATGCTGGGTTGAATCTGAAGATGCTTTGGCACTGGACTGTTACCAGTTCTGGAAATGGAATCTTCTTTTTTCCCCTCTACCAGAAATGAGAGTGATCACAGAATCACAGAATTGTAGGGGTTGGAAGGGACCTCCAGAGATCATTGAGTCCAACCCCCCTGCCCAAGCAGGTTCCCTACAGCAGGTCACACAGGTCGGCATCCAGGCAGGTCTTGAACATCTCCAGAGGAGACTCCACGACCTCCCTGGGCAGCCTGTGATGAGAATTGCCTTAACAGACACTTCACACTGGGATGTCTTGCACAAAAAATCCCAAAGTCCTCTTCCAACACTACAGCAGGAGACGCCAAGAGCACATGGATATACCCCACAGTGTGCTTCTTGCTCACCAAGGTCACATCTGCATGGGTTGGGTTTTTCTGTTAATTGTTTTTGAAGAGTGTTGTAAATAATCAAGCCTTCATCTTCAGAATTGAGGCAGCGTTCACAGCCATTCACAGCAACAGGCAGAGCGAGCTGTGCTTGAATTGTAAACTGGACGGGGATCAGAACCAGGGGCAGGAACCAGATGGTCTTTGAGGTCCCTTCCAACTCAAGCCAACTTCATGATTCTATGACCTCACGTGGCACCATCGGGTGGCTTCAAACTGAATTTCCTACCTCCTGTTAACAGCCCAATGTGAAGTAACAAGCAATGCCCCTCCAGACCCACGTGCTTGTTTCGGGACACATCACACCGTGGCACCTGTGGATTTCTGTTCCTTCTTTACTAGAAATGCATGTTTTTCAAGAACGAGTTCAGTTTCGCTCTTCCTTTTCAGCGACTCACGAGCAAGTGGAAAAATCTATGGAATGAGCAACACCCATGGGGCTGTCCACCTAATATCAACACAACTCACTTTACATAGGTATGCCCATCAACTCAACACCATCGTTCATGGGCCTGCTGATTCAGCATCCACATCACGTAAGGGCACACCTGAGATCTCAAAGCTGAAGTTCATAGAATGGCCTTGGGTTGAAAAGGACCATCATGATCATCTAGTTTCATTCATTCATCTAGGCTTTGAATGCCTCCAGGGATGGCACTGGAACATTCTGAAGTCTTTACAACTCTAAAGAAAAAAGCTATCTCAGGAAAACACGCTCTTCAAGAGCAGCTCAGGTGGGACTTTCCATCCACACACAGTATTTGGGTTTTGATGCCAAACAAATGACCTGAGGGATAGAGCAGGAAGTTTTGTGCACCCACACCTGAGCTGGTAGAGTTAAGACAACTGCAGTTTCCAACACAGAGCAAATGCTGTTTGGTCTCAGACCAAAGCAGGAGAAAGGGATTTAGGAACAAACACCACTCGGTCCTTGACTACATAAAGCAACCAAAGCTTGCAGATGCTGTTCTCTTTCTTCCCAGGTCATCTATAATTAAAAAAGGTGAAAACAAAGTAAAATGCAACGTATCAGGAAATGAGTTCAGCTGTGCTTAAAGGAAAGGTGTAGGAGCTTCAGTTTAGTACACAAATACCTACAGCAACCCAATATACCACTGTCACCTCTATTAAACCATTTTTCTTGTTTTCTTAGCATACAACGGAGCACTGTAGTGCTTCCTCTATAGATTCATAGTTAGATCCAAGGTCCCAGTGTGTACAGACAAGATGCACAGTGGTTTTGCCCTACTTTTACTTTCTTCAGTCTACGTAGTCACTTGTGTTTAGGGCCTTTGTTCATAAAGATGCATCCCTCTCAGCTTTCAGAGTGGATATGAGGAAAAACTGCTTCTCTGAAAGAGTGGTGAGGCAATGGAACAGGCTGCCCTGGGAGGTGGTGGAGCTGTCATCCCTGGAGGTGAAGGCACAGATGGACGCAGTCTGTGGGCATGGTGGGAGTGGGATGGCATTAGACTCAGTTATCTTAGGTCTTTCCCCACCTTAACGATTCCATGATTCTTCACCTGGTCTCTAAGCTGAGGCTAAGTCAGGTCAGCTTCTAACAAACACCAATAGAGATATGTTCCAAGGTTAAGCATGGGCTCCAGTCATGCCATTTCCCAACCATCGAGTCACTAAGCACAACCATTGCACAGCTTCATTGGACAGTGGCCAAACCACCTGCAAAGAGTACACATTTGTTTATCATCCTTGAAAATTTAGGAAATCAGCTTGGTGCTCCAGCCAGCCCTGCAGCAATCCTTCTTGCATCCAATTCTTGGTACAAAAACTGATGGTAGGAACTCAAATCCTCACCTCTTAACGAGCGTTTGTAAAAATCCAGAGCTCTTTGAAGGGTTTTTTGGCCTTTCCCAAAGGATTAACTGTACAGGATATTGCTGGCGTTTAAGGTCTCAAGATGCATTGTGTTCAAGAGGAAGGCATGAAAAAGCCACGCTTGGAGCTTAACAATGATCCCCACACCAGCTTCCTTGCGCAGCAGCAAGGCAAGCTTTCGGGGACAGCAGAGAGGCTGCCAAGGAAGAATCCAACAAAGCATTTGGGCCTTTGTTCAGGGCTGTGAATGCAGCAGCTCATCAGCTACCAATAAAAACCTCACGGGTGCCCGGAACAGGGGGTGCCCTGGTGCTGGGACAGCCTCCACGCTGCACTGAGTTACGTGAAATACCTTTTTCTATGCCTTACAGAGTGGGTCTTGGGCTTGGCAGCTTCAGGAGCAAAAGCACAGCGTCCAGGCTGTTCCTCAGCAAGTAGAAGTCCCATCTCAGCATCTCACAGAGCTACAGTAAAGCTGCTCTGGCATCTTAGAAAGGGAAAAAGGCGTTGCTGTTGTTTTTAATAAACAGAAGTGCAACCAGTAGAACAGCAGCGGGCGCTGCTAAAAGCACAGGAACACGCAGTCCTCAGTGCTTTGAGCAGGCAGTTTCCTCTGAAACAACCTCCCTGAGCCTGGGGGAAAGCGTGAGCTTTCTCCAGAGGCATCTGGGAGGTGCTCTCCACTCTGATAATCTAAGAGCACTTGGGGGTAAGTAGTCCCCGTGTCTCTCATCCTAAAGCACAAAGTCCATTTTGGGATGGGCAAACACAAACTCACCCTGTCCTGGTTCCCCAGGTCAGGAGCACATCATCCAGCCCCCTTGTTTCCGAGCCAAGAGCCTGTCCTAGTCCATCTGCCCAGGCTTAATTATCTCCTTCTCTCCCAGTTCCCTAACGAGAGGCACATCAGTTAACCAGAGACAGAGCCTGGGGGGGTTATACAAATGAACCATCCCAACTTATGTCTGTGGATTCCCGATTGCCAGGGGACAAACACTTGCCTCGAGCCATTCCCTGCAGGAGCAGCAATACCTGAAGTTTGTCACGTGGCTGATAAAAGCAGTTCCTTTCAAAATGAACTCTGTAATCGAGTTTTGCAAGCATCATCATAATACAGCCATTCTATCAATACAAACACTATCGTTGGCCCACTGCAATTCTGAGCTCTTAGACCATTCCTGAGCTTCGGAGAGCAAAGGCAAAGCTTTCTTATAATTAGTTAAATTCAGCTGGAACAGAAGATTCCTTGACATCATCTGTTTGGGTCATTATTACAGGAGGGACAAAGGAACACCACTGCACTAAAAACTAATTAACACAGTTCAGTCGTTAGCGGCGCAGCTGCCTGAAAAGTGGGATTTTGTCACCGAGTTTGAAGTGTCTCCTCCTTCAATGAAGAGCTGAAAAAAAAACCCCAAAGCTGGCAATGCCACAGAACAAAAAGCCCAGCACTGACCTCTACCAGTTGCTCTGAATTACAGGTGACCTCCAGCAGACCCAGCGACACTTTCAAAGCCACACATTTATCGCTGCCTCCTTTCATAAATCAGAATTAAGAAAACCTGACGCACCTGAAACCGGTTTTGATGACAATATTCCTCATCCACACACACAAAAAAACCTCAACCCTAATGACCCAACGTGCTGCTGCAAGCAAACAGAACCCAGAAACAACCGATGAAGTTAAAATACAGAACAGCTTGGGATTGCAGAACCAGCACATCGCTCTCAGCAGGACTGAAACTTCCCACTGTGCTGTCAGCACAAGTATTATTCTTCCCCCCTCCTTTACTCCTCTCTTGACTATTTTAGCAGAGATGTGGGGCTTGAAAGAACAGCCGTGGGAATGCTTTCTGCTTGAGGCGCCCCAGGCGTGAGCTGCTCCCCTCCAAACTGGCACACACCTCCAGGAGCACTGCAATGTGGTCATGGATGCAGCTGGATGATAAACCATCAGGTTTCTCCTCCCAGGGAAGCGTCACTGGCAACCCAGACAGGATTCAAGGCAGTAATCCGTGAGGTGAAAAGCTCCAGATCCTATTACTGTCCTCTTCCCTTCCTCTGCTTCATATGCTGTCACTGAGCAACTCTGCAAGCGAGTCTCGGCGGTGCTCTGCGGGATTCAGAACAGAAAAGGGGTGGAGAATCTCATCCTTCACCTTCAAGAGACGTACAAGGAGTCGTAAGGCACAGCCCCAAAAAAATCCCAGAAACTGTAAGGCAGGAGCTGGATGCAAAGCCTCACACTTGTGGCTCATCTGCTAAATTTAGCCCCGTCTGGCAATGACCTAAAAACGGCTGATGTGGGTTTCTGTGACTCATGTGACAGCCTGGTCAGCTCCATTCAGGTCTGGTGAGAAGGACGTGCGTGTTGCAGAGCCTCTGTAGCTCCTGGGTGACTTCAGAAGGGAATGGTGAGAAGCAGTTATCGATTCCAACCTGAATGCAGTGGCATGGATTGAGCCCTGCAGCTTCAGCTTCTGATCTGCTGATCCATTTTGCGTTTTGCTGGAGAATTAGGGGACGTCTCCTGCTGGAAACCCTTTGGGAAGGAGTGTAAAAGCTGGCAATGGGCTCTCCTGGTGTGCAGCAGCACATTCCCAGTTATTGGAAATAAAAGCCATGAGGGATTATGAAGCTTTCGTATCTCACAATGCTTCTTGTACCATCCAAGCCTGCAGAAAGCTGCTGAGAGTAAGCTGGCCTAACTAACATTAGGCTTCAGGTAGGAGCAAAGAAACGGTGGCTTTGAAAGCCACTAAAAGGCAGGAAGGACAATTTAAGGGCTCACTAACCTGGATGCATTCAGAGGCTCTGAAAGAAAAAAAACAGCAATAAAACCACAAAAAAGCCTTAATGCAGCCTACAGAATCCAGTTACACCCCAGCCAGACTGCACAGGAAGCTCTTGCAAACAGGCAAAATGAAGTCCAAAAAAGGAAACGACATCAAATGCAATACTCTTTAAGTAGAGGAGTTAAAACTTTTGGCTGTAACAGGAAAAAGACATCAGGGCAGACCTAAAGCAGCTCCTTATTGATCCCCACTCGCACAGCCAACTCCACAGCTAAAAGCATCAGGTAGAAAAAAGCATAGGAAGCACCAAGACCATACACACAGCATTCAAACAGAGGTGCAAGAAGTGCTTGGGCTCTCCCAAGGCACCTTTGCACAAGTCTGAAACTGCTCTCTGCACAACTAACCCCACAGAACACGTTTCTGGGTATGACTAAGCAGGCGTAACACACAGAGCTTTGCTAAGCCTGCAGTCTTTTCCCCCCCATGCATCATGGTGAAGCCATGTAAGATTCTTTTTACAACAAAAATCACCTCCTAAAGGTGAGCAAAGCTGAGGACCTGCACAAATGGACGTGTGCCTGCAGGGAACATGGAGGGAGCTCCCAGGTTTGCACTGGATTGTTCCAAATCCCAGCACGACAATCTGATCCTCTAGCTTCAACACACACCACAATTCCAATGCTCCTCTCCCAAGTCATACTCTAAATTTGTAAAAGTGAGCCCAGCAACAGAGGAAGGAGAGATGATTTAATTGTCCAGTTGGTCATTAAGCCTTACAGGACTCAACACTGCAGTGCATTAGCAAATTTTCTTAATTCTTTCAGAGCATATACACGTTTATGGCATGCCTTCACCAGCAAAACTGTGTCTTTCTAGTGGTGCAAAGGACTCAGCATTCTGAGCACCTTACTGCAAATCATCTCAAGTTTACAACAGAATCATCACGGAATGGCCTGGGTTGGAAGGGACCTCGAGGATCATGAAGCTCCAACCCCCCTGCTGCATGCAGGGCCACCAACCTCCACACTCAACACCAGCCCAGGCTGCCCAGGGCCCCATCCAACCTGGCCCTGAACACCTCCAAGGATGGAGGGGGCATCCACAACCTTTCTGGCAGCCTGTACATAATACACATGTATATTTTTTCCCCATTTGGCAAGATGCAAATCTCATGACCCTGGGGAAACCGAATTGCTAATTAAAATGGGGCTTACGTGTCCCAGTGTTCAGTGACTTCCTGAAGCCATGGGGGTACATTCCTTCAGGTTTGCACAACTAGAGCTGTGGGATTGCCCTTGTTCTGCTCACTGGCACTGTGACTGCCCAAGGAGGTTGCCCAAGGAGGCTGTGGATGCCCCATCCCCGAAAGCATTCAAAACCAGGCTGGATGTGGCTCTGGGCAGCCTGGTCTGGTGGTTGGTGATCCTGCACATAGCAGGTGGGTTGAAACGAGATGATCATTGTGGTCCTTTTCAACCCAGGCCATTCTATGATTCTATGATTGCATCTGTCTTTGGGTAAGTTGACAGAGAGTGGCTATTTGCTGCTGAACTCTCCCTTCTTGGCCCAAACAACGTGTATAAACTTACCCTTACCTTCTGCTCAGATCAAACAAAAGAACACACAGCAGAAACAATGAAATAAAAAAAATAAAATACAACCTAACATAACTTTATCACCAGCTACAAGCAAGCCAGAATCCGTTTTAATCCAACACGAGGCACACGAGCTCATTAGCGCCCACAATCCTAAAAAAGCAAGCAGCAGCTCTTAGCAGGACACTTCCCTGCACGGTCTCCATGGGACAGAGGAGGGTGAGCTGCCACCTCGGTGCATACCTTCCCTTTCAAGGAACACAGGCTCTGGTGCTGCATTACAAGGATCTGATTTCGGACATCTCAACTCCTGCACGGCGCGTCACCGTTGCCGTGTTCTCCTTTTGGGATCTGAGCTTACCCCAGTAACCACACACAGATTCCTCTGCTTGCTGGGAGGATCGAGTTACCCACGATGGCAGGCTGCTGGGCAAAGTGCTGATCGTTCTGCTTCCTTATTCCCACTGCTCCCCTCCTGACAGGTCTTAAAGGGAAAAAGGAGGAGGCGCGCTGGGCAGCGCCGAGGAGCAGCCAGCATCACCGTGCTGAGTCACATCTGTCAGATTGAACATTACCAAGAGAAGACTTTGGCTCCTGAAAGGGCTCTTTCTTTCTTCCAGTTTACAATCTTACAAATTAGAGGATTACAAAGCCATTCCCAAACTCAGCTCACATCTTCTTCCCCCGTCCCCAGTGGTGGAGATGCTTTGAGAAGCGCCGCGCTGCCACATCTCCCCGCACACAGGACCCCTCTGTCACATGGAACATGAGCTCAGCAGGAAAGCAGCCTGGCTATTGTGAGGTTTAAAGCTTGTGCTACATGATACCAACCCTTGGCATTCGCATTCAGCTGGGCTGGCTTTAAAGATTGGGGAGGGAAGGTCAGCAAGTTCGAATTAATGGCACTAGATGGGAGAAAAACAGTTTTCATTTGGCTTCAAGCAGCCAGGACACTCTAAAAGGGCTTTGACTTCCACCTGCTTTGAAGTCTTCCATTAACAAAGAAGTTTTGACTGAAAGCATCAGCCAGGAGATTCCTCTCCCTCTAAAAAACGAACATCCCTCAAAATAAAACAGTTTGGGATCAGCCAGGACACGAGGGCATGCTTTGCATGGCATCTACCATAACTCCTATCACAAACTCCACATCAATTCCATGGTTCCATTCCACCACTGTTTAAAAGCATCAGCTTGCTCTCAGTGTAGATCTCCCAAGGTTAACTCTGAGTTTAAAAAAAAACCAACAAAAAACAAACCCAACAAACTCTCCACAAACTGAAAGCCAAACCTGATTCTTTCCAAAACAAAATGGCTTGGAGCCAGGTCATTCAGCTGAATGAGCACGACTCAAAGGAGCAGCTTTGTTTGTCCCTAAAACTGAGTCTGAACTCTACGATCACATCCACACCAGCCACTGAAAAATAAACTACACCTCAGTAGCAATTTTCTAATAGCATTTAGATCCAGAAGGTTGAACTCTTTACAGAAGGTAAAGAACCATGAAGGTTGGAAAGACCTCTAAGGTCATCAGGTCCAGCCATCAATCCATCACCACCATGCCACTAAGCCATAATCCTAAACAGAATCATCGAGTCATGAATGCATTACGCTCCTGGAGGCATCCAAGGCCAGGCTGGATGGGATCCTGGGCAGCCTGATCTGGTGGTTGGCAATCCTGCCCATAGCAGGGGGTTGGAACTAGATGATATTTTAAGGTCCTCTCCAATCCACACCATTCTGTGATTTCAGTTGGAAAGATCACTGACATCATCCAGTCCATCAACTCATGCCTACTGCACCCACCAAACCACATCCCTCAGCACCACATCCACCCAGGGACACCTCAAAGAGCCACATTTGAGCTCCCATCAGCCCTGGTTTATGCTCTTATCAGGCACACACACACACACACACAGAAAAGTGGGTGTCTCACTGGACATTGTCCTCAGCCCCAATGCTTCACTTCACAGCTCCAGAGCACGACCAGCCCTGCCACCCTTGAGACGAATCAACATAACGCCAACAGCCAAGAGACACTGCAGCACCAAAGTTAATAATTTATCAATTGTTTCAACATTGCATGCATTAGTTTACCATGCTAGAGGTCAGTCGAGGACATGGGTAACTGCTTTACCAGTACACTTTTTTTTTTTTTTTTTACTTCTTATATATATAAGAACAACAGGCAGGTGAGAAAACCACACCTCCAAAGAAGTTTCTGCCCACACTCCAAGAGTCTCCCATCAAGATTCCTTCCTCCTTCTTCCAGTGACTTGGAGCCATCGAGGTTAGAAAAGACTTCTAGGATCTTCCAGTCCAACCACCAACCCATGCCCACTAAATTATGTCCTAAAAAGAGTAACAGCATCATTAAGTTTGGAAAAGACCACTAAGACCATCTTACCCAACCATCAGACCAACACCTATCCTTGATAACTGTAAAGTACCTAATCCTATCCTCAACCCCAATGGGTTTTAGCCCAAATCTGACTTCTCAGGTGCAGAAGCCTCTCTTGAGTGCAACCAAACTTAAGATCACCTTTCAATGCCAA